CCACGGATTGAGCTTCTGTAGTAGGACCACAGCCAGGAACAGCTTTGTGTTTTTAAGCCAAATAAATTTTGTTTGGTTTTGTCTGTTAATAGTGAGGAAAACTGGAGTAGACCAAACTTCTGTGGGTTTTGTTGGTTTTGGGTTCTTTTTGTTTTTTTTTTTTTTTTTTTTTTTTTTTCAAGAGAAGAAAAGACACAGGCAAAGAAAAAAACCCTTAGCTTACCACCCTTACCATCACCCTTCTCCTCCAACCCAACATGATGGGAGCCTGGGTAATACTTTGGTCATTCCCTTGCACAATCCTTCATCAGCACAGATGGGCAAACCCCTCTGCTGCTCCACCAAAAGCCTGATAGTGTCAACCACAATGGATGGAGCACTGTCACTGCACAGATCCTCTGTGGCCTCCACCTGGTGCTGGCCTTGCTCTGGCTGTCGTTCCCTCAGCCACACAACAGCTCCTTGCACGTGAGGCAGCCATGGCCCATGGATCCCACCTGGCAGCCACCTCAGGGAGAGGTGGTGAGCAGAGAAAAAGATCAATGGCCAAGATGTTTGTTTAAAGCTGCCCTCCTTTTCTCTGCTTAATTCTCAGCAAGGTGGAAAAACCCCACACCAGTGTTGTTAAATCAGGCAGTGGTTACTCTGGCTCTCCTCATCCTGTGGTAAACATAGGCATCCTTGTGCATTCAAGTTGATCGTGCACCCATTGGAACAAATGCTTTAGTATTAAAATAATTTGTGGAAGCATTATTAGAAAGTTGATTTCCCAGCAGGGATACAGCACTCCAGCACATCTCAGGAGAGCACATGTGGATGTTGGCAGGGCTCAGACATGACTTGCAGAATGATTACATTTTATATGTGAAACTACAAAGTTCCATTTCAGTCATGAATGATGAGCACTTACATATTACAGACAGTAGAAAGCACAGGAGTCACCAGACACTTCCACACTGAGACACTGAACAAAAGCATAGCAAAAAGAAATTATTGTCTTGGGTTGGGAGTTTGGCTTATTTGAGACCTTCTACTCCATCACAGTCTTGAGTCAGAGACAAAGCCACAGTCATAGGTCAGGAAACCTGCAGGCCCAAGTATCTGCTTAAACAGGACCCAAAACCACTGGACGGGATTGAAGGTTTGTGTGATATTGGACCATTGTTTTGCTAACTAGTCACTGCTGTTTGTATTCAAACAATAGGGAAAGAACTGTATTTAAATGCTGGCTGTTGTTGCCAAAACGTCACCACAGAAATCAAAAGCAATACTTTATTCCATTGCCTGCAATTCCAGCTTCTTTTTTTTATTAACACAATATAGTTCTTTAAATAAAGTAAAAAACAAAACACAACCCAAACGACTGTGAAAGCCCCTGCAGGAATGGGTAGAGGGTGTGGAAGGAAGAGAGAACAAGAATACTTTTACTGCATTGCCCCATTTCCTTGCCCCTCACCAGGATGACTCCCTGATCTAAGCAGAATGTGTATTGCACACAGCCTCTGAGGAAGAATCAAACCCTCTTACTTCATTACCTAGTGACTCTAGAAAAGATCAGGAGAAACAACACAAATGCTTTGGGAAGCAGAAATCCCAGTCTTGGCTCACTTACCATAAACCTAAAAACTGCCAAGGCAGATGCATGCACAAAAATATGTTGGCTGCAGAGTACTTCTGGCTAATCCTGCTCTTCAAAATGAGTTTGAATAAATAAAAAGCAGCAGAAGAAAGCAAAGTCATACAAGAAAACAAACTGCCCCACTTCCGTACAATATTTCCATGAAGCTCATCCTTTCAGCACCCATGGCCACCAATCCAGAGCCATTTTCACCCAAGGGAATGACTCAGAGACAGGCTATTGCTACATGCACTCATATTTAATCGTTTTCATGTGCTCTCTGCTCAGTCCCCTCTTCTTACCAAGAAAATGAAACATCTCTTAAGATCTTTGTTTTGCTGAAGAATTTGTAAACTGAATGCTGGGAAGAATAACTCTAAAAAGACTCAAGGGGAAAGGAGCGCTGTAACTTGCAGTGCTGCAGCAGAAATATCAAACACACATATATGAAGGTTGTGAAGCCACGTGGTTTTCATTTGGGATGTGTGGGGTGGGCACATAGGGTTGCTTTCTTTATACCCTAAGCACAACAAAGGAAGGCTTTGTTTGAAAGCCAAGGGACAGCCTCGGCTCACTTAAGTTACAACGTACAGGGAGCTGTGAGTCAGGGCTGTGGGGCCCCTGCCCACAGGCACCAAACCCCCCCTGCTGCAGCAGGCAAGGAGCTCAGCAAGGACCAAAGCCTCCAGCTCCACATGGGAGACCCAAAGCATCCAGGACAAGCAGCAAATACAAGGCTGAGCTGAGAGCTCATGTTGTGGATGACTTAGCACACAAACACATCCCTTTCAATCATCATTTCTGCTGTAACTCTGTCAGAGCATGAGATCATAACCCTGCACCAATTCCAAGAGCATGATGCAGCTATGACTAACAGGAAGGTGGGATAAACATAATCCAAGCACCTTCAGACCATCTTTTGATTTTGGCTGCAGAAGAGCATGGCCATGATTCTTAGACTGAGCATAACCAGCTCATTAGGTGGGACCACACTAGAGCTCCGTTCCTAAGTCACCTACTGTGGCAGATAATTTGTGTTATTGTGTGTTACAGGAGGGGAGGGTCAACTGATGGACTCCAGCTACCCAAAATAAAGACATCCATTCTTGCCCCTGCGAGACTGGAAGATAAGTGTAAGCTTTAGTTACCACGAATGAGTTGCAAACTGCAGTGCAGAGGTCTCTGTGTGCTGCTGAAACTTCAAGTATTTTCCCTCACATTTCCAATAGTCCCAATGTATTTGGTTGCTAAATCCCCAGAGGGCTTTGGAAATCAAATTCTCCTCTGAAACCAGAGGCAGTAAGGCACCTGAACATCCAGAAGGAAATAGATTAGGATCAAAGCATTCTGGGCACAGATACAGAAGACCCTCTGAGAAGCATTATAGTGTGAATATCAAGTGTGACATTTTAAGCTTAAGAACATCTCCTTAGCTCTGCCTCTGGTACGTGTTAACAATCTACAAGAGCTTAAAAAATAGGAGGAAAAAGAGGTCTGAAAAAGCAATAGAGTTTCTTCCCTCTGCTTGCATGCATGGCTTACACTGTGCCTGGATGATTTCTGGCAAGTCTCTGTTTACTTTGTTCTGAAAAGCTTCCAGCAAATCTCTGCCTCCCAAGGCAGTCTAGACTACTGCTTAGCTGCCCCTACCTGCAGGAAAGTCTCCTTATCACTGCATGTGCTTTCTCCAAAACAAGCTGTTTGGATCCCTGCTGGGATCCTGCCACAGGCAGGTGGTATCTTGTCTTAGGGAGCTACTTCACCTCCTTGTAGACAGCGTGGGAACCATTTCCTCCCACTCCTCATCAGGTGCTCACCACTCAGCACCAAACCCTTGAAATTTGGAAGAACTGAAAGCAAGGCACTCTCAAGCTGATTTGCACCATTTTTTTCTGGGTTTTACCAAAAAACTCTGCCTTTTCAACTGAAGGCATCCACCATCCCCAGAGGCCAGGGAAAGGTAAGTTGGTTACACAGGTGGCTCAGCTGACACCTTATAATTCATGTCTGTTTTCCAGCTCAGGCCCAAGAACCTTCTCTACGTGCTCTTCCCCTTGTTTCAAAAGTGAAGGAACAGCAATAGTTTTCCTTTGCCAGGCAACCAGAATAACCCAATGAGTTGGAGACTGTGCCTAGCAGGGCCTAAATTCTTCAACAGCTGGCTGCAATGGTCCTCATTCTTGCCAAGATCATGCTTGGTTTTTCTGAGCCACATACATGGCAGTGGGATGCATCAGATGTTTTCCGTATAACTGCTGAAAAAGCATTTCTGCCTTGAGGCAACTGTTGCTGATACAAAATAATGTGCCAGATCAGCCAGAAAAACCTGCCTCTGGAGGAGGGACAATAATGAAACATGGTGAATGGAAAGGAAAAAGAGAAAGAGCTTCATTTACACACAGGAGAATGGCAGTGGGCCAGCTCTCACAGCTTTGATCGGGACTGGCTGGAGGAGCATGCCAGGGAACTCTCTGAGCTGAGCTCTGCTAGAGCAGAGCAGCTGTTTGAACTCTGTGATGGGAAAAAGGTGGCAGACACCACCCAACACAGATCCAGAATAAATAAGTTAAAAAAAACCATCATGTGGAGTGCATGAACTAACAGGTACACAGAGCTGTAGCTGTGGCAGCCAGGACTCCTGCTCTGGCAGCTCCCTCTGTCATCAGCTCCAGTTCTTGCCCTCCCACCACTGCTACCCGTAGAACCTCCTGCCACACACTCACACAGCACCACTGCCAGACATCTTGGTTTCACCCAGTTCTCCTTTCAGTTTATTTTCAGGGGTTTTCATACAAACATGAAAACTCTACACGTCGTTGGCTTGTGAAAGCACTATCTCCCTTTGTCTGCCTCTGCTGTCACCCTTGATCACCTGGAAGTTGTCCAGGCACTTCCAGACATCTGCTCTCCCTCTAACACTTAGAAGAGGGGAATTCCAGTACTGGAATTCCAGTACTGCTTTCTCAGTCTGGGTAAGGTCCTTCTGGCAAGTTCTCCTCCACAGCAGAAAATGCATCAGTGGCTGATGTCAGCTAAGCTTTGGACCCAGTGGTTCCCTTCTGCCATCACTCTCTGACTAGATCCTAACTGTACCAAGCAGTCAGATAAGACCAATTTTATATTGAAACTCCAACAGCAAGAAGCTTTTAACACTTTTTCCACACTGAAGCCATTTTCAAATTAAACCTTCACAACATTGCTACTTTTGCTTTGCAAGAAGCTGTCTGTACCTCACAGCTGGGAACATTTCTAAAGAATGAGCCACACCAATTTCCTTTCAGCATTTCTGCTGCAAGGCTCAAGATCTCCTAGTGCGAGCCCATCAAGAAGCTTTTTAAATCACATCAAATCTGGAAGAAAGAATAACACCTGGAGCACTTACCTGCTACACAGCTTTGCAGGTGCTCATTAAACTTCACATTACTACTATCACCGTGGTGCAGAGAGGTCTAAATTCAGTCACCCGCCACTGAAGCACAGCCAGGAAGTCTGCAAAACACAAAGAGCATGAATGAGGAAGTGCAGGCAGAAGATGGGTATATAATGCAGTTATCTAAATTACAGATTGATTAAAAAAAGTATTAACTCACCCCCTTATCTAATAAAATGATCATAAAAGCTCAAGAGACCAGGAATAATCAGTTTGAAGTGATCAGGGAAGAGTTAAAATGCTTCTCCCATGGGTGTCGGCAAGCAAGGACTTCCCTCCTCTGACTCCATCCTCACCCACCAGCACTTTCCTTTTAAAAAGGATTAGGGTCAAATGAGCAGCTGCATAAGTGCAAGGGCTGGGACAGTTTTGTCTGGGATTGGTTTGTCTAGAAAAGGCAGCTAGCTGCTGTAAGCAGCTTGTAAGGTAGAAATACTTGCTCGGGGAGTTGGGTTTACAGAGCTAATGGAAGAAACAGAAAACAGAAGAGGCAGGAAGCAAGGGTAAGAGCACAGGAAGATGCGAAACACAGAACCACAAAAGATAAACTACAATATTTTAGGATAGAGAAGTGAAGAAATTTTATATGCAACAGGAAACAACGAGAAGGAGAAAACCCAACAAGCTGGTTGCAGGCAGACAACAGAGACATTCCTCCTCCCCAGCTGCACACAAATGGGCTGGGGAGGAGGAATGCACCACCCTCATTTCCAGCTACCACCACTTCAGACCTTCCCACTGTCTTCATCCAAAGCCTGATGAAACTATCAGTGTGGGCTGAGCTGAGCTTGAAGCCCATTTTAAGGGCTCAGCATTAGGGTGACGCCTCCTTGCTCTCCTGAACTCCTTCAATTCACCTTCCTCCTCCCACGTACCTGCTTTGACCAGACAGTATGTACAGTTTCACTTCTCTGTTTCCATCTTCCACTGTGAGGCCAAATTGGGCAAATGGGCTCTGCAAAGCCCTCCCATCTTGCAGGGCTGCTGGTGCCTCTGCTCAACCAGTGCCACAACAGCACCAGCAGCAGCACAGACTGCTGAACACAGGAGAAAGACACCCCACGCCCCAGAGGTCTGGATCTGCACTGTAATATCCCAGTGGATATTTGTAAACCCTCAGGGCCTGCAATGCCTGGTCTCACGGTGGCTCAGTGAGATAGAGCAGGTGTGTCTGCTTGGAGGAAAGGAGCTATTAAATGCTGGGCAGGAACTGCTGCTGTGGGACATACAATCCACTTGTTAAGATAATTTTTAAATCTCAAAAGAGAGTGTTTAAGTTAGGGTCTTCCTCCATATTTGTTCACAGATGTTGGAGAGACCTTGACTAAGCTTTATGGGTACTGGAAGTCCAAAATGATGTCTCTCCAGAACCTCCAGGCTGAACAATTCTTTCAGCCTCTTTTGATAGGAGAGGTGCTGCAGCCCTCTGATCATCCTCGTGGCCTCTGTTGTACTTGCTCCGAGAGTTCCACATCCTTCCTGTGCTGAGAGCCCCAGAGATGGATGCAGCACTGTGGGTACGGTCTCAGCAGAGTGGAGTAGAGGACAGAATCCCCTCCCTCGACCCGCTTGCCAATGCTGCTTTGGATGCAGCCCAGGACACATTTGGCTTCCTGGCCTATGGGGATACATTGCTGCGTTGGTCCAGTTTTTCATTCAGAGAGACCCCAAGACATTCTTCACAGGGCTGCTCTCAATGAGTTCTCCCAGTCTGTCCTCATATCTGGGGTTGCCCCAAATCAGGTGCAACATCTTACACTTGGCCTTGTTGAACTTCCTGAGACCCTTATGGGCCCAGCCTCTCAAGCTTGTCCAGGTCTCTGTGGATGCCATCCCTTCCCTCTGTTGTGTCAACAGCACCACTCAGGTGTGTGTCACCTGCAAAGCTGCTGAGGGTGCACTTGATGTCACTGTGCCACTGACACAGGTATTAAAGACACCAGTCCCTGAGGGACACAACTGGCTCTCACCTGGACAGAGCTGATGACCACAACTCTCTGGATGCGTCCATCCAGCCAAATCCTTACCCACTGAACAGTCAGCTCCTCCAAATAATTTATTTCCAACTTGGAAATGAGGATATCATTTCAAAGGTCTTACAGAAGTCTAGGTATATTACATTAATCTGTCTCTCCTTGCCAAACATTGCAGTCACTCCATCATAGAAGGCCACCAGATTGGTCAGGTGTGATTTGCCCTCAATCAAGCCATGCTGGCTACCTAAAATCATCTCTTTTTCTTGCATAAACCTTCTTAACACTGTTTCCATAAGGAAGTCTGAGCAGCCTAGCACAATGTTTGTTTGAGCCCGCCCTATATGAGAGCCTCCTCTCCTTGACAGAAATGAAAGCTGTCCCTGCTCCAGCAAAGCTCAGCAGCTGATCTGGCCTTCAGGTGATGGCATTAAAAGCTGTTTGTTTTGCTGCTGGTCAAGGTTGGCTCAGCCAACTTTGCATGGCCCACGTGTGCATGTAAGAATAAACAAGCCAAAAAAAGAGTCCTGCTGCAGCTACACCCCAGGCCAGCTCTCCATCCCTCAAGCTGCTTGGAGGTTGGCCACCTGCCTCCCTGCCCGCCCCAAGGAGTGAGCAGGAAGAAGGTTTTGCTTACACAGCTGAGCCCACATCCCTGCAAAACCTGGAATTCATGGTTGGGCACATGACAGTGCTGCCCAGTGCACACCCTGGCCATGCTCTCTCCCTCCAGCCTGGAAACCAGAGTCTCTACCTCTCTCCACCACCCAACAATTACAAGTGTCAATGGAAAATATGCTGCCTGGCAGCAAACCTGCTTTTTCCCTAGTATAAATGGATTGTAATAACACTTGGGAGAGAAAAAGCTGGCCCACCCAACAGTCCATTTTAAAGGGGATCTAAAGGAACAAGCCAGAAGCTTTTTTCAGCTTCCTTTTCCATTGCACCATTGCTACAGATTGCAATTGCAATTCTGCAGAGCAGAGCGAGCAGGACAGGACAGCACAGGACCGCAGGGAGACTCATGCAGGCTCTTCATGGAGCTCATATACTGTGTTAATTCATTTGCAGGCAAGTCCAAAAGATATTGAAACCACAGTCAAGAGGTAGACAGTTGTAAAAGCCAAGCTAAAATTGTCCTTTGGAAAACCATACAGTTTTACTTAAAAAAACAAAGAAATTAGTGAGATCAGTTTGTGAAACACCAGTGTTAGGTTTCTGTGGATCAGGTTCCTTTCCCATGTTAGTCATTGCCATGCGAAAAGAATCACAAGCATTGGCATCCCTCTCTGACATCATGCAGAGACACACCAGAGTCCTTATTGCCATGGATAGCACCAACAAAAAAACAAAACGGGAGCAGGACATACAGCTTTTGGCTGCCCTAGTCATCAGCTGGCCCAAAACAATTACTCAGGAAAACCAAATTCCTCGGTCCCTGACCAGGGCTATTTAGTCTGACTTGACGGGTGGGGGGGGGAGAAAGAAGTGTTAAAAAAAAAAAATAATAAAAAAAGGTGCTCTTAGTATATAGTAATGCTCCAAGCAACAAAAATAGGAAAATAGGTGAGGGGCCACTACCTGAGCCCTTGATAAACAAATTCAGTGGCTTTGGTGTGCACAGGACACTTTGTAGATGCCAGTGTTGTGAACACAGATCACTGAGTCCTGGACACACAAGTCATGCAAGCAAAAAATAGTGTCACCAACAGCTAGGAGCCAAGAAACCCTCAGGATTGGTCCCAGTACTCACACTGGTTCTCTAAATTTGGGAAATTAATTCAACTCTCTTTACATCTGTGGCAATCACACTTAATATGTACAATTCCCATGTGAGAGCAGCATGAAGCATCTATTGTGCTGAAAACAAAGTTGAAGAGAAGGCTTGAAGATTTTATTCCTAATTTCTATGCTCTACTTTTGTTTGAGGACTGAGAGAACTCCTTTCAGTTATACTACGGAAAATCTGATTTTAAAAGCAGATGGCTATGAAGGTGGCCAGAATCACTTTAGTCAGAGCTGCAGAAGAACATCACCATCATCACCAAACCAAACAAAAAAACCTCACACAACATGATATGCTGCACTACAGTGGCTTTCCTGTCCAAGTGCTGCTTTCATGGTAGCTCAAGTTCTTCCCTGGCATCACGGCAAACACTTGTGCCTGAAGGACATGCACAAGGTATGGGTGAGGCCTACAGCCCTCACTCATTAAAACATATGAATAGTAATGTTCACTTAGAGACACTGCTCATCTTGCCTGACCACGTAAAGATGCCAATAGCAACATGTCCTATTTTCCTGAAGGATTTTAGCATGGCAGTTCCCAAGAGAACTGCTTCAGTGGGAGACTGCCAAGCTGACGATGCAAAGGCCAGTAAGGCTCGTGTTCTGCACATCAGTTTTACAGCCCATTGACTTCCAGTGTCACAGTCCTGGCTCACTCTGCTTTGAGCTACAAATACCTGCTGGCCACATTGAGAAACATGCCTACGCGCATGAAGAGCAGCTCTACTGAAAGTATCTCTCGAGCTCCACTGAAAGCTTCACTCCTTCTCTTGGTGCTCTTTAGTGAGATGTTGTGTATCTCAGAAGGAAGAAGTTTTAAACCCGTGCCGCCTAACACTGAACACGCAGCGAGGCTCAGTGATGCGTTTTGCACGGACGGTGCATGTCCGAGGTGAGCGCTGCCCCAGGACACCCGGGCTGTGTCACCAGCGAAGGGCGATGGCCGAGAGGTCTCTGCTCGCCCGGCTCGGTCCCGCCGAGCCCCCGAGGGGCTGCGCCGCTCTCCCGCCGCGTCCGGCCCCCGCCTGGGCTGCAGGGAGAGGGATGCCCAAAGCCCTGCAGGAACTTTGGTGGGCACCGCACCCCCTCCCAGGGGCCCGACCCTGCCTGTGCCCCGGTACCCACCGAGACGGAGAACAGGCGCAGAAACAAAAGTTACCCCGCGAGGAGAAGGCGGGGACAGCCACACCAAGGCGGGCAGCCCGCACGGCCGCTCCGACCCGACCCGCATCTCCCGCATCGCCCGCAGCCCGGCTCCCCGCGGCCCCGGACAGACTCACCGGGCCGGGCCGGGCCGGGCCGGGCCCCGCTCCGCGCTCCGGCGCTGTCGGCGCGGCCGCGGCTCCGCGCGGCTCGGGGCAGGAGCCCGCCCCGCCCGGGCCGCCGCCGCTCGCCGGTTTGCTGCTTCTCCCCTCCT